ACAGCTTGATGGGGAAATACCATATAGCAAGCTCTGAAAAAGACTCTACAGCTTGCACCTGAGTCCCAGGTCAGTGCTTTGACCACATGTGCATTGCTCCCATTTACTTTTTTAAAATACCAATTAAACGCAAAACCTAGACCCATGTTCAATGTTCATATGTGTAGAACAGACAACTACATGAAATCTATGTGGGTGAGAGAGAAGGGGCTTTAAATGTCATGTTCAAGGTAGCAATTCCCTGCTGCAAATATTTGTGTGTACTTCAATTTTTTTGATTAAATCACAATTTTACAAAAATGTTCCCCCCCGCACCCCGAGTTCTGCTACGGCCACAAGCATTACAGTTCTAGTGGTGGAGTGAATGTACCCCAACTCACTAAAGAGGAACTTTATTCCAGCCTGGGCTAAAGAAGGGGGAACTACATTTGTAGCTCCCCCCTGAGAAGGTATAATAGCTGCATCACTGCACAGGGTGACTGTTAAAACAAACCAGGGCTAAAAGCAAATGAAGAGCGGAGTAGACTATCACCATGCTTCATTTACATAATTAATTAGCAGCCATTTTTGCACAAGAGGCTTTTGTACAAAAAGGAACTGTGTAGACAGCTCCTTTTTGTGCAAAAGCCTCTTGTGCAAAAATGGCTGCTAATTAATTATGCAAATGAAGCAGTTCATTTTCATAAGATTTTGCAGAAGGCGGCTGCAATATAGATGTAGCATAAGTGGCTTTATGTAAACTTATTAAAGGTTGCTGAGGTGTATATATAATTACATTTACAAACCAAATTTCAGGGCTATTTATATTGAGTCATATGATTGTTTTTTAAACCATGTTACTGACCCTATATGCATTTAACATTCCCGGGGGAGGGAGGCATGACTGAAATATTTCAAGGCCTTGCACAGCTCACACATCTAATTAAACAAACATCTCCTTTCCCCTGTTCCATTGAAGTCTTTCTCGCCTCTAACAATGTATCTCTGGCCATCTTTTTTTTTTTTTTTTGGTATAGCCCATTTTTAGATTTTGTTCAGTTTTTCTGAGACAGATTTTTGACACCTGTTGCTTTGTTATGTAAACAAGATTGATTAGTGCTACCAACAGCCTTTTCAAAGTTGAGTGAGGAGTTTCATTTAGAAGGTGCAAGCCTCCATTCCACATCATGCAAAGAACTGAGGTAGCGTTTTAAAGCCAAGGAATTGTATACATAGAAATACTGTTGCTGGCACAAGTCCAACCACCACACACTCAAGGTGACAGTTTGATTTTAAAACCGGTATCAGCTACTAGAAGGGGCTTTGCACTGTGAAAAGTTTTAATTAGGGAGCTAGGAACAAGCAAAGAGAGCTGAATCATAGGGCTAGAAGAGACCTCAGGAGGTCATAGGCTATGCCCAAACTGGTGCCTTCTCACGCAAAAACTCTTTTGTGGAAGAGTTCTGCAAAAACTCTTCCAGAAGAGAGCATCTACACTGGCATGTGCTTTTCCACAAGAGGGCTACGTCTAGATTGCATCCCTTTTACAAAAAAGGGATGCAAATTAGATGTATCGTAATTGCTAATGAAGCAGGGATTTAAATCTCCCCCACTTCATTAGCATAAAAATGGCTGCCGCTTTTTTTCAGCACGGAGCTTTGCCAGGAAAAAGCGCCAGTCTAGACACGGATCTTTCAGAAAATAAAGCCTTTTCCGAAAGATCCCTTATCCCTTATTTTAAAAAAGGGATTCAATCTAGACATAGCCGAGATGTGCTTTTGCGCAAGAGCATCCATGCCAGCGTAGACTCTCTCTTGCACAAGAAAGCTCTGATGGCCATTTTAACCATAGGGCTTTCTTGCGCAAGAAATTCATGTTGGCTGTCTATAGTAGCCTCTTGCGCAAGAACAGTTGCACAAAAGGGCTTATTCCTGAGTGAGAGTGTCAGAGTTCTGGTGCAAGAAGCCCTGATTTCATACATTAGAATGTCAGTTTACTTGCGCAGGAACACGCGGCCAGTGAAGACAGGCAGCAAGTTTTTGCGCAAGATCGCGCCAGTGTAGACACAGCCATCGAGTCCAGCCCCTGCCCAAAGCTGGCCCAATCCCAACTAAATCAACCCAAGACTTAAAAAAGCTCCAGAGATGGAGATTCCACCACCTCCCTAGGTGACACATTCCAGTGCTTCACCACCCTCCTGGTGAAATAGTTTTTCCTAATATCCAACCTAGACCTCTCTCACTGGAACTTGAGCCCATTGCTCCTTATTCTGCCATCCATCACTATTGAGAACAGCCTCTCCCCCTCCTCTTTGGAACCTCCCTTCAGGAAGTCAAAGGCCGCTATCAAATTTCCCCCCACCCATCCTCCTCCTCTTCTACAGACTAAATAGGTCCAAGTGTCTCAGCCTCTTTCAAATAAACTACATAGATGCATGGTGTTTTTACTTTGGAATTTGAAGCAGAAACATTTTAAATGTTGATTGTATGTAAACAGGAGGACAGGAATGTTAGATATCATGTAATTGAAGTGTCACGTAAGTGCATGAAATCTTAGCAGTTATATGACTATTTGATAGTGCCCAGGGCAGAGTTAATAGCCAGTGTGCTCCCAGGGCCCCCACCTCCACTGCTTCTCTGACACAGCAGCAGGCAGTGGCAGATGGGAGCTGGTCCACCAGGGGAGCCAGTTTGAAAACCAGCAGCCACACTCCACAGAAGGTCCTAAAGCCCCAGCAACACAAGCTCATTTGGGGCAGCAGCCCATCTGCAGAGGTGGGGGGTGCATGTGTGCCATGCTTTCCACAGAAAGGGGCTGCTGCTGCAGGCCAGACTCTGTCCATGGTAACCTGGGATACCAACAGAGGCTGCTTTGAAGCAGCAGGAGAGGTAGAGTGGATTGACGGGAGATAGCTTCCTACAGGGAGCCTGCTTTGAAAGTTGACTTCCCACACATATTAGTCCACTCATCCTCTGTACTACTTCCTATCAGAGGCACCAGCTCCTCCTGTCTCCTCTCCCCTCCCCGTTACTGCCTGTGCAACAGAGGCAGCAGGAGGGAAGGGGGACAGCATGCTTGTAGTCGACAAATTTAACTGATAAGCCAAGCCTTATTGACATGCCCAGTGGAGGGGACACCCATCTGCTACATTTGCATATGGTTTTTAAAGAAATTTTACGGACAAATGACATGGTTCTCCTTGCTCTTTCATAGAGATTTGAAATAAGAGTGCATTTAGCACTTACTTCAGTAAATCTGAAGCATAATGAAAAATGGCAGAATTGGTAAAAAAAATTCTATGTTAGTTTTATGCACCTTACAGTAGAGCAGAGTAATGAACTGATGGATCAACCATACATCTCATTTGGAATTGGGACTATGAGACTACATAATGCAGCAAGCAAAACAGAAAAAGCGCATACACAGTACACAACTGCTATAAGATTTTAAAAAAAGATTTGGCAATGAAAACTTCTCTCCATTGTGCCGATTATTTTCAGAAATAACAGCATTGCACAAGAGGGTTTTTTTTGTGCAAGAAGAGGCAGTGTAGACAGCTCCTTCTGGTGCAAGAGCCTCTTCTGCAGAAATGGTGGTTTATTAGACATGCAAATGAGGCTCAGCACTATTCCACACAGCCTCATTTACATATTTCTCACCCAAGAAGCCGCAACTGTAGACATAGCCAGTGTGTTTAGTTTGCTAGACCAGAACATGTCTGCAGGTATCTGGAAAAAATCTACATTTTGTTTCCTCGTTATTAAGTGGTCTCCCAATTTACAGCAAGCTTAATTTACAATACAGTACAAACTTTGAGCAGTGACACATTGCTGGAAATAATATAGTTGAGCTCTTTTACAGGAAGCTTCCCATGTTTTCATTAGCTAAGTGTATTTCGCATTTAACAGTTTTTTCTAGCAGGTACTTAACCTTGTACTGAATTAGAATACAGTTTTACTGCACCTCCTCTGCACAAATGCTCACATTTGTGGTCATTTTTTCCCTTCACATTATTTCATTAATCTTTAAGTAAAATTGCACTCTACAAGGCTCAGTTTGACCTATAATACTGAAAGGACTACAAATTGCTTCATCACGTGCTCTCGCCCCAGAAAGGAAGAATTCACACCACATACACTTGCACAAGTTTAATATTTTGTAGATTAGCACTTCCAAAATCAAGTTAGCACTACAGCAGTAAATTATGGATCAGATTTTTGGAAGCACATTTATACCTTGAATTCAAACTGAAGAAAAAATTGTAGCTTTGAGAAATAAGTGGCCAACATGTCCTCTGAAGTAAAGAACAACATCTTTAATTTGGATTTTTGGTATAGGCTGATTATTGTAACTGGCACAGCTTACTGCTCTTTTTAGCTATTCATTTAAAAAAAAAGTGACTTTACCAAACACCTTTATGAAGCAAGGTTAACAGAACAGGTCAAAATAAAAGATAAATCATTCATTTCTTCATAAACAAGCGTACATATTAAAGGTAAGCCCAACTTTTGCTCTCCCTTTTAGATGTATTTGACTTTTTTCCCTTGAGAAACACTGACATAGGTGAGAAGACTGTCAAGTTTCTGCACTTTATTGCTTTTCTGAACTACTCTTTGGTGTGGAGGGAAAGGGGGTGGAGAAGATGGGTAAAAAAGTAGAAAATTAACTTTCCACGTGTGATTTGCAGACCATAGCGGTGGCACTTCAGTTTAAAGGGAGATCAAACAGAGGTGTTTTTTGGTATTATAAGCAATAATTTGGTGCAAATTTTAAAAACTGAAAAACCAAGCTTTTGGTTTCTTACTGTTCAAATCATCGTCATAGTAAAGCCATTAGTAAGTACAGAAGCAACCGCAAGCCCCACTCAATCACATTTTTTACACTGAACAAAAACCATGTATGTACTACCAAACATCCAAAGTTAAACAAGTACATAAAAAAATCCTTGACTGTGAGCA